TATGATGATGCTGATGATGCTGACGATGGGCGATGATGATGATGATGATGATGATGATGATGACGATGACGATGACGATGATAATGATGATTGGTTGTGATGATGATGATGCTGATGATGATGATGATGCAGATTATGATGATGATGATGATGATGATGATGATGATGATGATGATGATGATGATGCTGATGATGATGATGATGATGATGATGATGATGATGATGATGACGATGACGATGACGATGATAATGATGATTGGTTGTGATGGTGATGATGGTGATGATGATGGTTTGTGGTCGCGGTGGTTTGCGTACAAACTATCACACGATGCCGTGGCCTCTGGCGGGGAGCCGCAGCCGCGCGGTTGCAGATGCAATGGCTGCCCGATGGCCCGACACACCCTTGTGTGTCTGCACCCCACCGCGCTGGCGTGGCCGCCACTGGTGACTGGAGATTGGCGCCAGCAAGGCAGTACGGGCCCGAGGAGCCATGAAGGTGATGACCCTGCATACGTCATCACCCAGGACAGGAGGGGCACTCCGACGAGGCACGCCTCCGCGAAGGACGTCTCCATGATGAAGCAGGCCTCCCCAAAGCACAGCTACCCTCAAAGCGCGCTTCCGTGAAGTACACCTCCTCGATTACGCTCACCTCTGTGGAACACACCTCGGTGAAGCTCGCTGCCATGAAGCACGCCTCCTTGAGGCACGCATCCGTGAAGAATGCCTCCGTGAAGCACACCTCGATGAAGCACGCCTCCCCGAGGAAATTCGCCTGCATGACGTAGCACGTTTCCATGATGAAGCTGACCTCCGTAGAACACATTCGATGATGAAGCACCCCTCTGCGACGCACACTGGGATAATGGAGTACACCTCCGCGACACGCGCTCTCGTAAAGCACGCCTCCGTGATGAAGCACGTCTCCATGATGAGCAAGAATGTCTCCATGACGCACACCACCATAAAACGCGCCTGCAGGATGAAGTACGCATCATTATGAAGTGCGCCTCAGTGGAGCACGCCTCCCCGATGAAGCACGCCTCCGTGCTAAGCACGCTTCCCCAAGGTAAGCGACATTGTGGGCCCTCTTCGCCGCCGGGAGCGCGTTCACCGTTGCCTCCGACCGCAAAGACGGCTGGTGGTGGTGGTGGTGCTGCTGCTGCCGCTCCTGAAATAGGACGCCAACATGGACCCTGCACGCTTGAACGCGAAATTGACTCCAGCCAAGCATTACGGGCCCGAGGAGCCATGCATACGATGACCTTCAGACGTCATCGCTCAGGAAAGGAGGGACACGCCGATAAAATCCGCCTCCGTGAAGCATGTCTCCATGATGAAGCAGGCCTCCGCGAAGAGGGCTTCCCCGATGAAACACGCCTCGTGATGAAGCCTTCTTCCGTGACGCACAGCTACCCTCCGTGAAGCACAGCTACCCGCCAAGCACGCCTCCGTGAAGCACGCCTCCTCGATGACGCACACCTCTGTGGAACACACCTCGGTGATGCACGCTTCCATGAACCGCGCCTCATTTAGGCACGCCTCCTTGAAGAACGCCTCCGTGAAGCGCGCCTCGATGATGCACGCCGCCCTGAGGAAGTTCGCTTCCATGATGCAGCCCGCCTCCATTAAGAAACACGCCTCCGTAAACCACACATCGAGTGATGCTTCAGAAATGTGGGTTCCGCGAACAGCCCGCGATGGTGAGTTACCCAACAGCGAAGCACCCCCACGAAGCACTTACGGTAAACGCGCCGCAATGAGGCGCGCTACGCCCAAACGTTCCACGATGAAACATTCACTGAAACATTTCCCGATGAAGCGCTGTTTGATGAAATGCCGCGATGGGGCACACACCGAAGTACCACAACAATAATGACAACAACATGACACATAGTGGTGGTGCCACAGTCCTTCTCGCTGCAGGGCCGAGCCTGATTCGAAAAAAGAAGGATGATCACCACTTTGATGTACAGGGGGATCGCGGGGAAGGTGCGCAACGCTGCCGCGGCAGAGGTGGTTTCTCACCACAGTAGCATACCGCAGTGAACTCGCGCAAGAGGAGGAGGACGAAAGGCACCAGATGGATAGGCCGAGCCCGTGAACTGCCTGGCGACGGGCCGCCAGGGCAAGAGGGACATTCGGAACCCAAGAGGAAGTGGATGGGCGTGAACGCCTGCGCCGCCGTTGCACAGTGCCAGATCTGGTGCAGCAAGATGATGATTAGTGGTCTCAGTGGTGAGAATATATGATCACCCGGTGCCGTGGGCACTGGCGGGGAGCCGCAACCGCGCGATGCAGATGCAATGGCTGCCTGGTGGTCCGACACCTTGGTGAGTCTGCACCCCGCCGCGCGGGTGTGACGGCCACTGGTGATTGGGGAGCGTCTCCAGCCAGGCAGTACGGGCCCGAGGAGCCATGGAAATTATGATTGTGATAGTGATGCGGATTGTGATGATGATGATGGTGGTGGTGATGCGGATTGTGATGCGAAGAAAGTTCGCAGAAGTGATCGTAGAAAAGCTTGGCGCGATATTGAATGACCAGTTTGATATAATCCTCTGGCTGGGTGAAATGGAATCCCACACTTGGCGTGCAGAAGTGCAGGCCAATCAATATTGTCAGCGCCCTGTCCCAATGGAGCCTATCGTGGCAATGCAAGGGACAACTTGGTATGTTGAGGCACCTAAATTTGAGTGCGTCGACAAGGTTGTCGAGGTTCCCAACGTTGTACTTGTGGAAAAGATCGCAGAGCAGACGCTTGTCATGCCAAACGCTCGTAATAATGCCAGCAGTGGCGAAATGGGTGGAGACGGCGCCCCTTCTAATGAGGTGAGTCGCGTATTTGGTGAAGATGGAACGATCAAGGAAACGGAGGCCACAATTGACAGTCGAATATCGAGTATTCGGACAAAAATCGATTTGTTCACCGATGCCAAGGACGAAACAAATTACATAGGTCTGGCGCTGGATTCGTTTGGGAGCCAAATTGTGGAATGCAGATCAAAAGTCCCCAATCCAACCTGCACGAAGTTATCGAGGGTTGGAGTAGGAGTTCATGCACCGATCTTGTCTTTGATGCGCATGTGACAAATTTCAAACTTGGACAGGAGAGACGCTGAGAAGTACAGACGAGTTTTTGGAATTGATGTACAAAGTACACAAACTATGGTCGAGGTGATGGGCTTCGCACCAGCGTATGTGAGGCCAACGCGCCCTTTGTTTCACGACGCGGCATGTTCAAAATCATGGGAAGGATGGTACTACTGGAGCCAAGGGTACACATTCGAGATCGTGAACCAACCATGTACTACGGCATCTGAGTTTCAGCGCTCCGGAGCCCCCGCCGAGCTCTGCGCCTGTCTTGTCGTGTCCTGATGGTGATGATGATGGTGATGATGATGGCGAAGTTGATAATGATAATGGTGATGATGATGATGGCCGTGACGATCATGACGATGCCGACTCGGATGCAGACGATGGCGATGATGATGAGGAGGGACATCATGACTGTGGTATGATAATTTTGGTGCTAGTGGTGATTATGATGGTGAAGATGGTGGCGATGATGATAATGCTGATGATTCTGATGGCGATGCGGCTGCGGATTCGGATGTTGATGATGTGGATGGTGATGGGCATTCCGATTTTGATACTGCTGATTGTATGATGGTGGTGATGATGGTGATGATGATGGTGGTGGCGGTGGTGGTGGCGAGGCGGATGAGGAGGACGAGGATGATGCCAAGGTGGCGCGGGCCTGTATGAGCCTGCCATTTTCTGGCTACGCGGCCGTGTTTGGAGGAAGGGCAGGAGGCGCAAGAGCAGGACCATGATACCGAGCTGACATGGACCTGCATTGGCCAACCGTCTTCTTGCCAGAGGACCGTGGTGGGAAGCGCTCGGGTCAATGATTGGGCTGCATCGGGGTCCGTCTGGTGCACGTGTGGGCCCAGCTGAAGCCATTTGGGCTTGTTCACTGCTTCTAGGCGTGCCTTTGGGGGTTTCGCCGTGCAGTTCCGTTGAATTGCAGCCGCTTCGCTGCGCTGAGCTGCGCTTTGCTGCGCTTCGCTGCGCTTCGCCGACACGCGGTCGCCGTCTTGCCGCGCCGCTGCTAAGGCACTGCACTTTGGAATTGCGCTGGCGACGCTGTGGCGACCTGGCTGCATTGTTTGATTTGCGGTTTCCCAGTGCTTGACGAAGCGTTTGCGCACAAGGCTTAAGTGATCCCAGAAGGCTTGCTGCCATATGCGGTGAGCTCAGGCTTTTGGGGCGCCTTGTGTCTTTGCCTCTCAGACTGGCGAACTAAAAAAAAAGAAGCCTCGCACATCGCTTCGGAGGCGAACGGCAGCGACAGAGAGTTGTTCTTTGCTAGGCCGTGTAATGTTCTGGCGTTCTGTTTTGCATAACATGTTGATATTGTACGTTCTGGCGAATTTGGTACGTGAAGAGTGTAGGGTGCATGGCATCATCCTCGCCGCCCCCTCCTTCAGCTTCTTTGCCCTCCAGGCATGTCCGAAGCTTTCCTCCGCGTGGACTTCGTGGGCCAGGGCCCGTACGACTCTATGTTCAACCAGATGGCGGGCAACGGGCTCCGAACAGTACAGGGCAGATGCAGGGCAGGACCCAATATGGTCGGGTGCATCCATCGTGGATGGCGCGTGGATGGCGCGGGGTCTTTCTGCGAAGGAGATTGGGAGCCTGATGGTTGTGCGAGTTGACTAGGGGGCGTTTGGTGGAGTTCCCGCGTGTCGTAAGTACACAAGAGGGTTCCAGGGTTAACGCGTTGCTTGCCTGGGCGGCGAGAGCAGTGGCTTTCGAACGGAGAGCTCTGTGAGATTCGAGGATTGGCGCGAGAAACCAATGTCACATGCATTTCTCGCCGCGAGGGATGCCTATCCCACGACTCAACAGTTCATAGCTCATTTGCACAGTGGCTATGCCACTTCGAGCCGCCCTGAGGCAGACGTCCCAGTCAGCGAGAAAAAATTGGCAGCTCCCGCAGGTTGAGAGTCACGGCAGACCCAGTGGAAATTATAACGCAAGTTGTTTGCGCTTCGCGTATCCCCGCCAGCTCATCTAGAGACGATCCTCAAGCGAGTTATCTTGATCCGGGAAGTGTAGCAGCATGCAGTCCATGAGTGAACCATCTAACATGTCACCGCGGATCTGTCGAAGGAGGTTGAAGATGAGTTGGATTAGGAGGTGGGAGGATGAGGAGGAACAGGTGGAGAAGGAATACGAGGTGGAGGAAGAAAGCGAAGGCGACGCCGACGGCAGGAGTCAACTGTAAAGGCCCCCGCGGATTTTTCGCTCTAAGGTCCTCTTGGATGCCTCTCGGAGTCATCTTGGGGCTGCCTTAGGGCTTTGTGGAGGGCCCTCCTGGTCCTGGGGCCATCCTGGAGGCCGTCGGTGATGACTCGCCACGCCCCGTCAGAACCCTAACAGAAACGCTCCTCGGAGCCCTCTTGGTCCCTCTTGCTCCTCCTCCTCCTCCTCCTCCTCCGCCTCCTCCTCCTCCTCCTCCTCCTCCTGGGCTCGTCTTGGAGCCTTTGTGGGTCACTCCTGGGGCTCTTTTTGGGGTGATCTTGGGGCAGGTTTTGAGGCCCCTCAAACCTATGGGAGACGGAAAGGGGACAACGACACATCTTGAGACCACGTTGAGCCTTTTTGAAAGAGTCGTGGAGCCTCTACGAGGCCTGCTGGACGACATCTTGAGCCATCTTGGGCTGTCCTGTGCGATCGTGGAGGGCACCGTGGGATACTTGGGGCCATCTTGGGGCTATTCTTGGGCCAGGGGGGCCCTTGCGCCCCCCCCCCCCTCCCCGCCCAGACCCAAGATAAAATGGGGTAGGGGGAGGGGTAAGTCCCTCCCCGAAGGGGCAGCACGAAGTCGAATACCGAACCGATCATGGGCCTGTTTTCCACCACCACCAGCTGGAGAGGGGAAGGAGGTGGAGGAGGAGGAGGAGGAGGAGGACGAAGAGGAGGAGGAGGAGGAGGAGGAGGAGGAGGAGGAGGAGGAGGAGGAGGAGGAGGAGGTGGAGGAGGAGGAGGAGGATGAGACAGAGGAGGAAGAGGAGGAGGACCCCCTCCCCCTCCTACTTCTCGTGGTGGTTGTGGGAAGCAGGCCCGCCAATCGAGGGCTTCCCTCCTGGGCCAGGGGAGTCTTCCCGTGCGTGGCACTGGCCTCGTGCCCCCGAGCACACCTGGGCCTCCTTGGGGCCCTCTTGGGGCAGACCTCCTACCCTGACACGTCGATTAGTGAATTGGCTGTTTTCGGTTCGCGGGAGGGCGTCGCGGCCGTCCTTTGTGGCGGGTCCAGGTCCATCGGTTTCGGTCCCAGGCCGTTTTCACTAAGGGGAGGTCTACTAAAGGGAGGTTTGTCCAGCGCCGACCTGTGGGGCCTGGCTCCTCTTTGGGGTCTTCGGTGGTTTTGGGGGGTCCTCTCCTGGGACCCTGCGCAAGTCCTCTACAGTGGAGGCCCATGCCAGGAAACACCCTGCTTGCCTCCAGGGTGCCCCGGGTTTCTTGGGTCTTGCCGTGGAAGGCGTGACATTCCCACGCCAAACACCAATGGACGTTCTGGGGTCTCACTCCCCCGATCCATGTTTGCGCGCCCCCGATTGGATGCGTCTGGGAGCTCTCATGAGCGTTCTTTGACCCTCTACGATGCCTCTCTTGAGGCATCCCAGGGCCACGGGAACGTCTCTGGGCGCATCCACGCCTTACAATGTGAGCGAGCCAGGATCTTCAAGCAGCGCCAATCGTTGTAATGGCGGTCAACTAGTGATCGCTTTCTTACTCATTGTTTTGCCGATCGGCGCGGGCCCTTGCCTCCCCCCCCCCTCTCCCGTGGAGTGGATCCTGGCTGTTTTGGGCGCCTGTTCCAAGTAGGCGGGGCCTCCCTCATGATGGACGCCCTGCTTCAAACAGTGGCACTAAGCAGAGGTCCGGATGCAGACCCCCCCTCCCCCCCCCCCTTTCGCCCAACGTCGAAACACCGACTAAAAAAGCGCTCACATGGCGGTCAACTAGTGATGTCACGGCTGAGTACCTCCTTGGGGTGGTCACCAGCTCCCGTCTTGGTGGTCTGGCTCGATCGGACTGCGATCTGACAGATCCGAACCCCGTGCGTGCCCGCTCGAGGTTGGTGCGTCCCGGGTCCAGAGCTTGGTGCGTCCCAGGATCGGGACGATCGAAAAGGGTACGGAAATAATGGGTACGATGCCCAACAGCAGTTCCTGTTCATTTTGAACAGGACTCGCTATCCGCGCCGCCGCGGACGTTGTTCTTCGACGACCGAAAGCCGCCTGCCCAACAGCGGCCGCTTTCGGTTTTGGACAACATTTGTAGCTGGGCATTGTGCCCATCTTCTCCGTACCCATTTCGGGCGTCCAAACAGGACCGTTCCGATGCATTCCGTGCATTCCCGCTCGAGGATGGTGCGTCCCTGACTCAGAGCGTGGTGCCCTTTCGAGAGTGATGCGTTGCAGGTGCCCGCAACTTTGCGTCCCAGGACCGTCCCGGCCCGTGTGTGCGTGCCCGCTCTGGGGAGCCTTGAGACGGGGGTCAATGCAAGCGGGGGTCAGCCACGGCACCGGATACTGCAGGATCCTGCGAAGATTTCCTCTGGCTGACCCGGGTTAGCGAGCCGCTCGTGGCCGCGAGGCGGCCGCACATATTGGCTGACCCGGGTTCGCGAAGACCTGCGCTGCAGTTTTTCTTCCTGCACTGCAGTTTTTGGTTTCCTGCTGACCCGGGTCTGGATTGACCCGGGTCAGAAGATCCCCGACGCTCGAGGATGGTGCGTCCCAAGTCTAGACGATGGGGTGTTCCAGGGGCATTCGCGCGGTGCGCCCAGGGCGGGTAGACAGGGCGTTCGCCGAGCGTCGCCCTGCGGGCACCACGCTGCACAAGCGGGGCCGCTGCACTCGGCTGGATCTCGCTCGGCTCAAATGACGAACCAACAACACACACACCCATACCCATAGAGGGGTCGGAGAGGGCTATGGGTGCGTGTTGTTGGATGGGGGTCCCCGCTCGAACGGGAGCGTTACCCAGGGTCCGACAACCCGCACCCATACCCATAGCCAGTCCTCCTCCCAACGACCCCCCTATGGGTATGGGTGTGTGTTGCTCGTTCGTCATCAAAGGTGTGTTTGGCCTGGCCGGGCTCAGGCTTCGGAATGCACAGTTTGGGGAGTTTCCGCTTACGGGGTACTAGAAAGACCCTGTTTGCCTCCAGGGTGCCCTGGGTTTCTTGGGTTTCGATGGTTTTGCTGTGCAAAAGGGCGACGTTCCCTCACCAAAAATCGATGGACGTCCTGGGGTCTCAGGGATGGGTTTATTGTGGAAGGTTTCTTGTGGAGTGGCCTAAACTGTACGGGCTGGTGCGTTGCTCGCGGGCAGCGTAGCACACCCGCATCAGAAAGAGAGCGTCTCCTGAGCACACCAGGAGGAAGTCAGGGGGGGCCCGAAGTGCCCCCTTGCGCTCAAGAGGCTGTGGGGCCATTTCCAGAGTAAACCGAAGCGCCCCGGGCGCCGGCGGCGGCGACGACGGCGCCCGGCGACGACGACGACGACGCGTCTGTGGCGCCCGACCGAGATTCGCCCAGCACGCCGTCGACAACGTGTCCCGCCCGTACGCCCGAACGACAGACTCGCCAGCAAGCGACGACGACGACGACGCGGCGAGGGGGGGGTTAGTCTAACCCCCCCCCCTTCCGAAAGGTGGGGGAGGTGCTTTAAGAGCACCCCCCGACTTTCGGAATGGCGGGCAGGGGGTTCTCGCCGGGGAGGGGGTGGCGGTTTTGGAGGAGAGGAGAGCGTGTGAATTTCGAGGGGTGGGGGCGGTTCCAGAGTGGGAGAGTGTGGTATTGTTTACGCTTCGCGAATCCCCGCCAGACTATTCAGAAGCCCTGCCCACGAGAGCTGACGGGAAATGGAAAGCAGAGTCACGTACAGTGAAACAACGGTCAAAGAGAGGAGGGGGAGAAACGTTTTTATCCATCTTAAAGGCTATCTTGGAGCATCGGAGGCCTTCTTGGAGCGATGGTGCTGTACAAGGGGGATATTGGGGTCCTGTTGGACCTCGTTTGGGGCATCTTGGGGTCCTCTTGGGGCTCTTTGGGTGGTCTTGGGGTCCTCTTGGGGCTCTTTTGGGGCGCCTTGGGGCCCTCATGGAGCCCTCTTGGAGCTCTCTCGGGGGCTCTCCTGGGAGCCTCTTGGGAGCCCTGGAGGGCCTCTCGGGGCTGTCATGGAGGGTGTCGGTGAAAAGAGGGGGGGCCTTAACGTTTGGTTCCCCCTCTGGGGCCATCAAGATAGCCTCTTGGGACGCTTTTGGGCCTCTCTTGGGGCGCTCTTGGGCGGTCTTGGGGCCGTCATGGGGGCATCTTGGGCCCTTCTTGGACCTCTCTTGGGCAATCTTGGGGCCACATTGACGCCTCAAAAACGCATCGGAAGCGAGAAGGCGAGAAGGCACACATCATTTGTTTTCCCTAGGGTTTTGAAGGGTTTTTGGCTTCTCGGGGAGTCCTGAGGGATCTCCAACAGCACTCGAATCCGTCTTTTGGTCTTTTTGGGGCCTCTTTGGGGCATGTTGTTCGCTACCTTGAGCCATGTTGGGCTATTTTGAGCGATCTTGGAGGCCATCTTTGACTCTCTGAGGCCCTCTTGGGGCCATGTTGGGCGACACCCTTTAACCCCTCGCGGCCCCCCCGTCCAGGTCCAGGGGAGGGGTTAGGGAGAGGGGTCAAGACTCCCTCCCCGCCCGCAAGCCGTCTCGCTCACTCCCACCCGCCCTCCCATCACATACGTAGCACCCGAGCCTGGCCCGAGCCGCAGCATATTCAGCAGTCGTCTTGGGATGGGCAGGTACTGGGGGCGAATCCGCCGCCGCCGCCGCCCGCCGCCGCCGCCGCCGCCCGCCGCCGCCGCCGCCGCCGCGCCGCCCGCCGCCGCCGCCGTCGCCCGCCGCCGCCGCCGCCGCCGCCGCCGCCGAATCGCCGCCGCCGCAGCCGCTGCCGCCGCAGTCGCCGCCGCCACCGCTGCCGCCGCCGCCACCGCCGCCGCCCCCGCCGCCGCCCCCGCCGCCGCCGCCACCGCCGCCGCCACCGCTGCAGCCGCCGCAGCCGTCGCCGCCGCCAAGTGTACTTTGTATGGTTTTTTTGACAGGGATGGTGGGGGGAGGCCGCATCGGGTTCGCTGCGCGTGCTCCGAATGTGGAGGCAGAGTGTGTTTAGTATTGTTTTTGTACAAGGGGTGGTGGGGGGGGCGCATTGTTCCTGGTTGGCTCCCAGTCGCCTGGGGGAGGGGGGTGTATATTAAACAGTGATAACCCCTCCCCGAAGGAGAAGAAGGGTTTTTGGAAGAGGGAAGAAAGGTCTCGTTAGACCGCGTGTCGCCCAGAGGGCTGGCAGGATCTTGCAACAGTGAGTCGTATACAGAGGACGCTCTCGCCAGCTTTGCGAGCCAGGCATGTTGGCCATGCCTCATTAAGTGTGGACTCTTGCGGTTGCTGCGCACGGTGCCGTCTGCACACGATCTTTGCGCGGGGGCAGGGTCCGTCGCCATTGTGCTCCACGGGTGCTCCTTGAAGTGGGGCCGACACTGAGCTGTCGGCGGCGGGTTGCAGTCTGCTTGCCGTCCTGTGTCAAGTGAGGAACAACCACCCGGACCCGATATCTAGCGTTTGCTGAATGGCCCTGGGCGTTTACCACATAGCCCCGCCCAGTTCGATTCTTTCCCTGGGTGCGTTTGCGAAGCGGCTCAGCGTTCCGGGGTGAGTGTTATATGAGGGTGGATTTTCGGATCTCTATTGTGCTCGCCTGACTGCCTGCCTGCCTGCCTGCCTGCCTGCCTGCCTGCCTGCTTGAACAGATGGACAGAAAAGAACAACCCCCTCTCGCCAGGGAGGAGGGCAGCGCCACCCTGGGGGCTGCGGTTCACGGTCCGGGGCTCGGCGCGGTCCCGCCGTGCTGTTCGTTTGACCAGCCGAGGCGTGTGCCGCCCTGCCAGCAGCTGGCCTCTCCTTGCTTGGCCGCTTTCCCCTCCAACTCCTCCTCCTCCTCCCTCCCGATCCCCCTTCATTTCCTCCTCCTCCTCCTTCTCCTCCTCCTCCTCCTTCTCCTCCTCTCCCTCCTCCTCCTCCTCCTCCTCCTCCTCCCTCCCACTCCCCCTCCTTCATTTTCTCCTCCTCCTCCTCCTCCTCCTCCTCCTCCTCCTCCTCCTCCTGTTCCACCTTGTCCTCCTCCTCCTGCCTGCCTGCCCCGCTCGCCCGTCCGGCCGCCTGCCCCCTCCCCGCGTGCCCGCCGGCCTGCCTGCCTGCCTTCTGCCCCGCGGCGGCGCGAGGCGAACCCCTACGGCATGCCGCCGATGCCGCCCATGCCCGGCATGGGCGGCACCATGCCCGGCCTGGGGATGCCCTCGATACAGGCCCCGCCCGCGCTGGCGATCGGGGGCGGAACAGAGGGGGGTGATGACTAGGGGGGGGTGGATATCATGGCGGGGGCCATGATATTTCCCCAGGTCTCATGGCGCCTCTTCTTATTTCATTACGTCCCTGGCCCCCCCGCAGGGCCGCGCACATGCCGCCGGTCATGATTTGCACCCCCCCCTCTTGGACACCCCCGTCTTGGCCGCTCCCGAGGCGAACGCAGTCGCACCAAGCGGAGGTTTGGAGCTAGATCCCCCCCTCCCCCCCCCCCCTTTGCCGCCCGATGTCGCAACGCCGAACCAAACAAAAGGGACCATTGATCGCCCGAGGGTTCAAGACCTCAAACCGCCCAGGCACACGTCAATCCTGGGCTCCTCCTCCTCCTCCTCCTCCTCCTCCTCCTCCTCCTCCTCCTCCTCCTCCCCCTCCTCCGGCCCTCTGCGTGGATTTCTTGGATCCGCGCTGGGCCCCCCCGGCGGCGCCTCATGCGCCGCCCCTGGCGCGCTCCGCGCGCCAGGGAGGGGGGTCCTGCGCGGATCCAAGAAATCCGCGCGGACCTCCAAACGTTTACGTTTACGCCGCTTTTTCTTCCAGATGCAGGCCGCGTCCGCGCTGGCGATCCTGGGTGGGCCTGATGTCCTGACCGCCGCTCATGCCGACCTCGATCTGGATATATAGCGGCGTGCAAAGGTGGGCTTGGACATTCGGCGGAGTTCCGAGTTCCATCTGTGTGTGTGTTTGTCGTATTTCCTGAAGCCCAAGGATCTGTTTCAGAACAGACGCATCGTCGAACGCTTTCCAAGGGCGCTGGAATCGGGTCCAGTGTCCGCGGCTGGTGGGCATGCGCGTAGCATTTCTCCTTTCCCGAGCACATACAGGGTGGGCGGAGCCGACAATTGTCATGCTCTTTTTAGCGTCGGCGAGTCTCCCTTGGAGATCTTTGTTGCGAGCGTTGCCGATTGAATCCGTGCCCTCCTCTTTCACAACCTCTCTGTATTGAGCTGCGGGGACGGCGGTATTCTTTGGGCACAGTTCTTCCATAATGACGCATGGTCGGGGAAGGAGCAGTGATATGACACGTTGTGGCGCTTTGATTCTACCCTGCCGTTCCACAGTTCCCGAGATGACGCCAAGACTGGTAATTCGTACATCCCACGCTTCGACGAGTAGGTACAGACTGGCATCCCCTTCGACTGGTTGAGGCAATCCTTGAAACCCCGTTTTTCGATATACACATATAACTGGTGACCCGGCTCAGTGCCAAGACCTGGCCGGCGTTTTGGGTGAGGATATCATCGAACGCGTTCCACTACTCGCAAAGTGCCCATTCTTGAACGTCAGAAGAAAAACACGGGTCTTTTTGATATACTTTATCGTAGATCCCCTGGGGGGATCCATTGAACAGTGGGAAACCGACCCCGGCCCTCACAACTATGGATTTTACACGTCAGCGTTTTGCATTTACGGCGAATGAGCGTAAGTGTAGGCGCCCTGTCGGCGAGACCGTTGCCAGCTGCCGCATGGGGGGCTCGCGCGCGCGGCGACGTCCTGGGCCCGCTCGACGCGGCTGCGCTCGCGCCGGCGTTCCCAGGGCGGCGCGTGCCACGGCCGCGACTCCCAGTTTGAGTCGACGGCGGCGCTGTCCCTCGCGCGGCAGCGCAGCTGGCCCAGCCGAGGGCCCCCGCGCCCGCCTCCGTCGCCCCCTCCCGGCCCCGCCAGCGGAAAAGTTTAGATCGGGAGCGTTTCTCTTAAGGCAACTGGGCCAATGCAATTTTTTGGCGTTTATATAAACACGTTGTTCTGTTCATATAATTTCTTCGGGGCTCTCCCGCGCGAGACTTTCTGATCCGAACAACGTTTTTTGTTCCCTCTCTTTCTCCACCAAAAAGTATTAAACAATACGTATTTTTATATTTCTTTTTACATCTATCTATATATAGATATTATGCTTTGTTTTCTTGCTTCCTGGAAAAATTTATTTATACATAATTCTATCAAGAAATATTAAACTATGTACGTGTATTTGATAAGGAGCTTATATATTTGTTTCGGCTGGTGCCTAAACTTTGTTTTGTTTTTCGGTGGATCTACTTTGTTTTTCGATGCGCGCCCGTGCAGGGCGGGCCGTGGGCCCCGCGTGGGGCTCTTGCCAGCGCCGCGAAGGGCCGACGCGCCATTGGTTTTTGCCTTGGCACGAGCGCGCGAAGGTCCACACTGGTTTGGGGCATTGACCGCGTGCCAGCGCAAGGGAACACCAAGTTCGCATGCCAATGAGCATGGCAGCAGCGCGCCGTTCGCATTGAATGTCGCGGCGTTGTCGTTGGCTGGCCTTCGAGCAGTTTCCGCTCTCAGTTCGCGCGTCGCTCGACGGTCCCATTGGTCTAAAGTTCTTTCTGTGGGGGGCGGGGGGCGCTTTTCATGTGCTCGTCCAGGCCATTTGCGAGTAGTTACTTTGCGAGTAGTGGAACGCGCTCGTCTAGAATAGTCGGTTCCGAGGTCGAACAGACAGCCGTCAAGGCTCAAGACGGCCCCGAGTCACCCCTGAGGTAGCCTCGAGGGGTCCTAGGCCGCCCAAGAGACGTTTGAAACAGCCCAACAGGCTTCCAAGACGTTGCAAAATGGCCCCCAAGATGGCCCTGGGAGGCAAGTTGTTGTGACATTCGTATGCTTTCGAAGGATTTCAGCGTTCTCTTCTTTTCGAGTTAGCTGCGCTCCCGGACGGCCCAAGCGGCTCCCACGATCTCTCAAGGATGCCGTAAGAGGCTCCCGAAGCTTGCCCAGGAGGCTCCTGAGATTGCCCAGGATGCCCCCAGTATGGCCTTCGAAATGCGCCCCAAAATCGAGGCGTTCGTCCTCCTCCTCTTCTTTTCTGCCGTCCCCATCGCTCCTTCTGTGTACTTGCCCTCTCCCCCCTCCGACCCGCTTCTTCCGTCCATCTCCCTTCTCCCTCGTCCCTCTTCTCGTCCCTCCTGCTCGCTGGACCTTCCCACCCCCTCGAAGTTGGTCGAGGGCCGCTGTGCGCTAGAAGCTAAAGGCATTCGACATGGTTTCATGATGCTATCTGCTCATAGATCCCAAATAGCGGTTGGCGGGTCCAGCGGATCTAGACCTGGTGGGCCAAATCAGACAAGGAGAGTCGATCTTGGCATTCGCTGTTTCGACCTCTATCTTCGCCCTGTCGTCGTCGTCGTCGTCGTCGACGTAGAAGGCGATGTCGACGGCAGCGGAACCGGCAACCGGCGTCGACGGCCTGTGGCGATTGCGATCACGGCGACGACGGAAACAACGGCGACGATGGCTACGACGGCAGCCATAATTACCCAGTCCGCGCGTGCCGCGTGCGCGCCGCTTGCGTGGCATCGGACACCCAGGCGTTGACACCAACATCGATATCGGCGATGTGCCTCCACCGAGGGAACATGATCTCGATCTCGGTGATGGTGGGAATATTTGGGCTTACAGGTGGCCGAAATATTACAGCCAAAACCAAAATCTAGGGTCACTTTCCCCTGGTGGAGGCCCCCCCCGGTGTCGGTGTTGGTGCCCATCATAGTTTTTCCTACGCGCCACTCTGTGTCGCCCAGAAGGCGTTATCGGTTCCATATTCTTACGTCGTTGCCTATGGGTTACAGCGGGCGGCACGCAGGCGGCGTCCATACATCGTGAGGGTCGTCTCCACAAGCCGCAGGCCTCGATACCAGCGTCTTTGAAGATAACCGCCATCCATGTCCGTGGGCGCGATGGAAGCTGGTCGTTCAGATTCAGCGCGTTTGATAGTTCTCTTGCGAACCCTACCCCTACGTGCCGAATGGACGCTTGGGTATTGGACATCCCCGCTGGGGTTCACGCAGCTCTAGACATCCTTCCAATTCTAGACTGTCTCCCGGGTTCATGCTTCTTAGCTAGCCGGGTTGGCTGCTTGGAGTTTGGCGCCGCACGGGCGACTCACTCCGTTGCACTCGCACCCGCGGCCGCTTGTACACCTTGGTATACTGGGCGGCGCCTAGGTGCGTCTGCTGGTGAATGCAGAGCATTTTGTTCAGTGCATGTGCAACTGCACGCTTGTTGTGCAGGTGCGATCCGGCCTGCCAACGTGGCGGCTGGGGTCGCCAATTCGCTTTGTGCCGCCCGGCCGGGACATTGCCCTACGCCGCCAGACCGTTGTCGCGCGGCCGCAGACCAAAAAAGTAACCTCACCAGCCCATCCAGAGACGATGCCCAGAAGAGTTGCCTCGATCAGCGAAGTGGGCAGCACTCAGAGAAAGGGTTCCTCTTGGAGCGCTCTTGGGCCTCTTGGAAGCTTGTTTGGGGCCTCTTGGAGCGTCTTTTGGGCCTCTTGGCGGTCCCTGGGGCCTCTTGGGGCGTCTTGGGTGTCTCGTGGAGCCTCTTGGGGCCTCTTGGGGGTCTCTTGGGACCCTCTTGGAAGCCTCTTGGGCGCCTCTTGGGGCCTCCTGGGCGCCTCTTGGGGCCTTTTTGAGGCGCTCTTGGGAGCCTTGGGAGCGCTCTTGGGGTCATCCTGGAGGAGGTCGTTCAAAAAAATTGGAGCTATAATTACGTTCCCCCTTCGGGAACCCCAAAGTCGCCTCTTGGCCCCCTCTTGTGGCGCTCGTGGAGCGCTCTTGGGCGCTCTTGTGGCCGTTTTGTGGCTCTCTTGGGCGTACCTTGGGGTTTTGAAGGATTTTGGCCTCTTGGCTGCTTCCTGGGGAGGCCCATGGCCATTCGGAGCCGTCTCGGGGCGGTCTTGGAAGCCATCTTGGAAGCCATCATGGGCTCCCTGAGGCTCTCCTGGAGCCATCTTGGGCCATCTTGGACGCTCCAACGACCCGCGGAAGAGGGAGGGGTGGAAGAGGAAACGCGCTAGACCACCTGCGCCCAGAGGTCTGGTGGGATTCTCAGCCCCAGCCAGTTTTTAGACATCTTACCCGCATTACCAGCCTGGAACATATCCCTTTCCCTATGCTGGGCACCTCTTCATCACGATGCCAATCTTAGGGATCCCCTTATTTTTTGAGGGCGAACCCCTAAGATTGTCATCGCCTTTTGGCGTGTCAATCTTAGGGATAGGGATACCTGTGCAGTGCGCCGCCGTCATCTCTTCCCTCCTCGTTCTGCCCCGGGCTGCGCCGTGGCCCGCGCCGCGCTCCCTCTCGGTGGCAGGGCCGAAGCCGGGCCCGGCGCGCGCGGCTCGCAGCGCGCAGCTTCGCCCTCCTCCTCCTTGAATCGGGCCGGGCGAAAGGGGGGGATTGGGAAAGGGGGGTTACGAAATCTGCTGCACGCAGCTGGTCTCGGCCCCACCGAGGGGACCATTCCTCGATACGTGGGCGCCTCCCGGCGCCGGGAGGCGCCGGGAAAGTCAGCTACGTGAGCTGATTCTCAAATATATTGCGCCGATCTAGCGTCGGCTAGCGTCGACGAGCGTCGATTCAGCGTCGACTGGCGCCGATTAGCGTCGATTCGCAAAAAGCCGACAAGATGGCACGGGAGGCTCCCGTGAGTTGCCACCGATGTGTCTTTTCACGCGCGCGCGCCTTGCCCACCTCAGCCCATGCAGGGTGCACCGGGGCCCTCCCTTCGCCGCGCCCTCACGGCGCCGCGCGCGCGGGGAGCCGCTGCCGCTGCCATTTTCGACGGCACTGGAGAGAGTGAGCAGGGGGAGGCCAAGCCCGGCCCCCACAACAGTGGGTTGCAGATGTCAGCGTTTGACAAGTCTGGCGAATGTGCGCAATCAGGTGCAGGCGCCCCCTAAGCGAGGCCACTGCCAGCTGCAGCAGCGTGGGGGGCCCGCGCGCGGTCTGGTTGGTCGAAGGTTCCTCGTGCGGGGGGCGGGTGGCGGTCTTCCTGCTCTCGGTGAGGTGAACCTGTCGCCTGCCACCGCCAGCCTTTGCACTCCCGTCCGCGCGGTGATGCTGCCGAGCTCCTGGTCGGCGCCTCGACCCCGTCGCGCCCTCCTGCCACCCGGGCAGCCACGAGGCGGAGCAGCGGGCGCGAGGCGTGGTCGGCGGGGCTGCCGACCACGAGCGCCCGGCGCGCCAGCAGTGTCCGGCGGAGGAGGAGGAGGAGGAGGAGGAGGAGGAGGAGGAGGAGGAGGAGGAGGAGGAGGAGGAGGAGGAGGAGGAGGAAGAGGGAGGAGGCAGGAGGCAGGAGGCAGGAGGAGGCAGGAGGAGGCAGGAGGAGGCAGGAGCAGGTTGACGAGGGGGAGGAGGAGGGCCTGAGGACTGCCACGCCCATCTTTTCCAGGCCCTGCTGCTCCTTGGGTGCTCCATCCGAGGCCGCACGTGGTGGTGCAGCGCAGCTGTGTTCCAGAGATTTGACAGTCCAGCGCGCCGCAAAGTTGAGATCGTCACGGTACAGTGGAGGCCCATGCCAAGAAACGCCTTGCTTGCCTCCAGGGTGCCCTGTGCTTTTCGGGTTTCGATGGTTTTGCTACGGGAAGCGTGACTGCAAAAATCAATGGACGTCCAGGGGTCTCAGGGTTGGGTTTCTTGTGGGAGGTTTCTTGTGGACTGGCCTCCACTGTAGCGTATGAGCGCAGTCGAGATGGTGGGAGGGCGACATCTCACGAGCTTCACTTCAGGGCAACCGCTTCTCTTCTCCCTCTGCCCGCTCGTCTGCTTCTCCCTTCCTTCCTCCCTGCCTTCTCCCCTCCGGGCCTCGGAGCTGCGTCTCCTGACCTGGCGCGCGAAGCGGTCCAGGCTGGGGGCTCGCCGAGCAATGCCGCTGGGCGCCCCAAGAAGTACACCTGCAAGCTCGAGGTGGGCATCGAGAACGAGGCCGCTCGAGGGGAGTGACGAGCCTGCCTTGCCGGGACCCAGTCTCTGCAAGCGGGGGAGCGTTCCGATGCTCTTTTTTTCCCAGCCCTCCCCTGCTTGGGTCCTCGTTTTGACTCGGGCACTGTGGCCTCCACTCCTCCTCTCTTCCCCCTCCTCCTCCTCCTCCTCCTCCTCCTCCCTCCTGCCTTCTACCTCCTGCTTGATTCCCAGACCTCCTGTGTTGGGTTTTCGTTTTTTGAAAGGGCACCGTAGTCTCCGTCACATCTCCTCCCCCCTCTCCTCTCCCTCCTCCTCTTTCTCCTCCCCCTCCCCCTCCCCCTCCCTCCTCCTCCTCCTCCTCCTCCACTTTCTCCTCTTCCTCCCCCTCCTCCTCCTCCTCCTTCTCCTCCTCCTTCTCCTCCTCCTCCTCCTCTTGAGCACATGCACGAGCAGGCAGTGGCGAGCGTCCTGCGCCTCCGCGGCAACCTGGCCGCGGCGGAGGCGAAGGAGGCTAAGGCCGCCATCACGCTGGCGGAAGCGCTGGCTGCGAAACGGACGGCAACGGCGGCGCTTGCCAAGGCCGAGGGTCTCGCTTCGCAGGACCTGGGCCAAGAGGCCAAGCCCGAGAGGCCGTTCACCATCGAGTGGGACGAGTCCTTCTTCGCGGGGCTGGACAATATGGAGTGCTTAAAGGACGAGCGCGCAGCGCTTGATAATATCCAGGAACAGTTGAAGGGAGTCAAGGACACGTTCGGCGCGAGGGAGAAGGAGATAAAGGAGTGGCTCGAGCAGGCCGACGAGTACAAGGCTGCGGTCAACGCCCGCATGCTGAAGAAACGGAAGTCCAACGACGGCTCGGCTCAGGACGCCCAGACGGGCGGCGAGGGCCGTGCTGGTGATGGGGCGGCGGCTGCTTCCGACGGCGACGAGTGGCATGAGCAAGCGGCGACGCAGGCTGCCGAGGAGGCGAGCACGAGGGAGGCAGGCATCGCAGCAGAAGCCAAACGCCTCTCCGAAGCTCGCTTCCAGGCCAAGGCCGAAACTGCCAAGGCGTCTGGCAAGGGCGTCGCCGCGCCCAGCTCGACGCCAGGCGGCGCGGGCCAATGGCGGCCAGGAGCGGGAAACCCTCGGACCCTGACCGAGGGGGCGCCGGGCGGTAGCGGTGGAGCTGCAGCGGTCACCCGCGTCTTCTACTCCAGCATGTTTGACCATGGGCCTTCGCAGAGACTCGCTTTCACAAGGATTCCGAGACGAAGGAGTGGGATCGCAAAGCTAGGAAACTTCATCTGAAGCTCACTTCCAACGAGGCGCGGCGCACGGACAAACCGGTGTCCCTGTCCAAGGAGGCGCGGGCCAACCAAGGCGGGGATATGTTAGTGAGCAAGCGCCACCTGCAGTGGCTGCAGCCAAGCACCTGAGGGCGGCCAACCAGTCGTTCCTGGATGGCTTCTGTCCGCTGGTCCTCCAGAAGCAGGGGTACTCGCTGGTCATCGTGTTGCTGTTCGCGTATCCAAGTATTGCCATGACAGGGCGCCGTCGTGAACGTTTTCGCAGATTGGGGGGCCTGTTGCGCGCAGTACGTGTGCCATGGGTGGTGATAGGCGACTTCAACATGTCTCCATATATTCTCTCCGAAACCATTTTCTTTCGTAGAGTGCAGAGTGTTATCAAGGCCCCAGCGGTAGAAGGCACATGCGCACACATGGAGGGCCCCGACACCATGCTAGGCTACGTGCTGATGCGCCCCTCTGCCGTGCCATATGTGAAAGATATGGTTCCTCTTCGTGATGTAGCATGGCGCCCGCGCATAGGGCTTGTGGTCACCTTGTGTAACTCTAGCCCGGAACTTCAGGCGCGCGTGCTCGACAATCCCAGCAGGTTGCCCCTAGTGCCCAGACCGCTGGTCGAACCTACTCCTGGGTCCAAGTCCAGCCAGGCCAGGACTGAGGGGGCCCCGGCAAGGGAGGAAGCGCATCGGAAACGTGCTACGGCTTTTGAAAAAGTCGGTGACTGTTCTTCGGGGGACAAGGGCTCGCAGGCTCCAGGAGGGACGGGGGGCCCATCGGAGCCCCGTGAGGATCCTGACCCTGACTTTCTGTTTCGCCCCGGGGAGGAAGGGGGCCCCTGGACCGACGAGCTAAACTGTTGTAGGGGCGGCCAACTTTCCAAGGCGACGGTCTTTCGTCAGTCGGTGCTCTCGATCAGGTAGAGTGTGAACAGGAAAAAGATGTTTCCAAGCCCGTTTTGCCCAGGGCGTGCGAGGTCCAGTTCCCCTGCCCCGTTCCAAGTGGCCCAATGCAGCAGCGTGGCGTAGGACAGATGGCTTGCCTGAATTCGGCCAACGTGAATTCGTCCGAGCCCGCGATTGAGATCCCAGTTGGGACTTGGATGGGAAGTCTGCGATATATTGGATTCAGGTCGGGCGCCGAAGTTGTGGCCGGCACCTCCCCCCACTTCTCCTCCTCTGTATCCTCCTCCGTAGCTCTTTCGCTCGAACCGCGCTCGAGCGCCATTGTCCCTGGCGCGTGCGCTGCGTGGGCGAGTTCGGCAGAGAGGGCAATCCGTATTCATCGTGACATCCAGGCTGCTGCAGCGCGGGTCCCGGGTCTGTGATCAAACCTCGCAGGGGGGCAGCTCGCTGCCGTGAACTTGCCCTGAGGGATCGACGAGGTCAGTGGTGGGCTCGGTTGCGGCGTCTTGGGCAGCGTCGGCATGCGCCGACGACGGGGCAACGGCCGACGACAACAGGGTGAGCTCGCCAAAGTTTGTCAGCATTTGTCGGCTACGCGTCGCGCTAACGCTCAGCTTATTATCAATCCACGCCGTGGCGCGCCTTGGGAACTGTGGCTTCAAGTACTAAGGCCCCCTGGGGCGGCGGCGGTGCTTGTTCTGGACCCCCCTATCGACGGTGCCGGGGAGATATCAGGCAGGGCCCAACGGATCGCGGCCAAGGAATCTCTTTCGGAATTCAAAGAATGGGCGGGCAACGAGGAAGCAGCTGCATTTTGCATGACAGTCTTAAGTTGAAATAACAACTATCTTTTGGACTTGGAAGTCGATGGCAAGGTCTCGGCCCGCCCGGCTCATATTACGGATCAAATAGCTCAGTCATTCAAAAGTTGCGGGCGCCGAGACCAGTGGGCCTTGGCGAAGCGCGGGAAATGTCCAGGTTGATTCGCGACGAAGCTGAGCGGGGCGCTTTGCCAGATAAGCGTCGATCAAATTTATCTTTATCAGAGTGCAAGCAAGATGAAAGCCAAGGCCGGGCTCGGCGTCGACGTCGCGTCCCCGGTCGACGACCAGGGGCTGCAGCCAGTGGCTGTCGCGGAGCTGGCCTTGTTGCCGGGCAGTGTGGAACGGCTCCTAGCATGGCCGATCCAGACGTTTCTGGTCGCGGGCCATCTCGCGCCCGACAATTCCAGTTGGGATCGGGCCTGGTCTCCATGCCAGGGCGCCCCTGGTCGCTGGCGCGCGAGCCGCGCGTGCGCCAGTGGTCGGTGGGGGGGGGGCCCAGGCTTGGGGCGCCGCCGCGCCAGGCAACTCGCGCCTGCCAGGGCCGCGCTTGCGGGCCATGGGCGGGGGGCTGGCCCGCAGTATGAAGATGGAGTTCGGTCATGGGATATTGGATGCGCAGGAGTTGTGCGATGCGATTCCATGGCTGCCGCTGGTCCAGACGGCCCTCGTGCTGAACTTCCCGCCTGTGGCCCCATGTCTGGGACCTTTACAGTGCATGGCGGTGGGGGCTTTAGCGCGGCAGGGGGCGGTGGCAAGCCCATTCGAACCGCGCAACTGTGCAGTGCAAGGCCTGAGATCTGGCGCGCGTTTCGCCAAACTATCTACCCATTTCGTGGTGTAAGCAATGGTGGCAGTTTCGCCGTGTATGTCGCGCAGAGTTCTGGTTGGCGACGTCGCTGGGGCATCTCTTGGATCGGCGCGAGCTGTAAAGCGGGATGTGAATATCAGCGTTGTCAAGACGGGCAAGGAACTGCGACGATGCGGGCTTGAATTGGCAACGAAGTCAGCGGTGATGTGTCCTAGCCATAAGAATGCAATCGAGATTGCCCTGGCCGCCCGTATTCAGGGATTTCCCATCGAAGCGGTGGGGCACGCGCCCGACCTCGGCGCGGATTATTCGCGTGGAAGGTCTAGCAGGGCTACCGGGGCGCGGCGGCATGCGAAACATGGGAAACTGAACGACGCAACCAAACGTCTCTGTCACGCCTCAAAGAAGTGCGGCCTCGTGAGCAGACTGGGGCGTTTTGGGGGACAACCTGCGGGCCTGTGCGGATTCCAGGTCCACGGCGCGCGCGGTCGGCAGCTTCTCGGGAACAGGGGGCGGATGGGCGGGGCGCTGGCGGCGGCTGCCCAGGGCCGCTGCCTCGCCACCCTGCTCGACTTACGAGCTCCTTAGGGCGACCCCCCGCGGTGGCCTACCCGACGCGCCGCGTGGGTGCGTGGCTTCGGAATTGGCAGGCGCACCCCGAGTTGAGGAAAAGCATTCGCCATGTTTGGGCCAGGGCGGTCACTGACTAACGTTCGAGGGGGCCTAAAGATCAGGCAAAGGCTGTTAAAGGCCCAATTTCGGCTGCCATCCTCGCGCTGTTGAGGGCCAGCTGGGGCCCGATCGAGGCTTCGGCGTGGTCGCGTGCGTCGCTGCGCGGCGCGACGGAGGAGTGGCAGTTTCCAGAGTCGATATATACAGGGAGCTTTTTTGCAGATTCCCATGCAGGGCTTCCGAAAGACATTCGCGGGTCGGCAGAATTGGTTGCATGGAAGCAAGAGAGCAGCCATTGTTGTGGAGGCGGTGCCACGCACGGAGTAGACAATGCCCGTGTCATATTATATTTGCGACAAGTCAGCCAATTTGAGAACGGTCGCCGGCTTGCAGGGTTGTCAATCGATATTGGCACGGGCGGTTGTTGGCCACGCCAGAGGAATAATGGCGCGATGATTAGGTCTACTGGCCATGTGAACTGCGACAGGTGCAAGGCCAAACCCGAGGCGGCCATGCGCAGAGCGTG